AGGCTATGTCGGCGACGAATCAAAATTTCTTTGGCCTGCTTTTCATTTGCATCTTCAGCAAGACTGTATCTATTATATGATGGAGTCTGCAACAAACAAATAAGAAAATATTTGCTTTAAAATTATATTAATGGGGGGAGGGGTTCTGATGTAAAGTATTCTGGCATCATATCTTGCTTTTAAGATATCTCACAGACAACACTTAAATTAACATAACATTTAAGACAATTAAAACAATTAACATAACATTTACATCAGAAATGTAACACCTGAAAATAGTGTAATATTCCATAAGTAATTTATTCTTTTGTAGCTTCCTTTAGTACCACAATTTATTTTAAGAACTAAGATGTTAAATATCAGAAATGTCAATAATCTTACAAAAAAATAATAAAACAATATGCTATATTAACCGTAAAAACCATGGCACCAGCCCGGTCACTGTTAAAACCATTAGACTTTAAATGCTCTGCAGAAGATTCTGTCTTCAGAGTCTTCTTAAAAGACCTTGGGTAAGTGCTACTTGAACCTCTGAGTTATGACGGTCCATAAGTTTATTCCACCATGGAAAAACACTTTGGGTCTCCACACCTCAGACATGAATTCTGAATCTCTCCAGGTGGAATGAATATACCAAATGGATCAATTCCACCTGGAAGAGATGGAGTTGAAGGCATCCTGGAGCCAAGCTATGTAGGCTTCAAAAATTAAAATTAAATTAAAATGTTGAATTAAATCATTGCACCTGGAAGTCTATTGGAAGCTAATGCAGCATCACAGCACTGGTGTAACACTGGTGTAATATGGCTGTAGTAGCTCTCACCTGCCAACATGCAAGTTGCTACATTCTGCACCAATTGCAGTTTCCAGATGGTTTTCAAGGCATGCCTATGTAAAGCTCATTGCAGCATAGGTGGTCCCCAGTTTAAGAACAAGTTCCTTTCCCAAGGTCTGTCATTAAGTCGAATTTGTGTGTAAGCCAGAACAGTATTATTGTATAATACTGTATAAGTAGATTGTGCAATTAACTTGAATCGTTGTGTATTTAACTTGAATTCTGCTACAGTCAGCTCCATTCTTAACTATGGGTTGTCCTTAAACCAGGCATTCTTAACCTGGGGACTACCTGTACTCTTCCGGTGTAATAAGGGTATAAATTATTATCACAGGGCCCCACTCAGGCATAGTCCCAACACTAAGCAATACCCTTCCCTGGAAGTACCTGTGGCCCATCTCTACCTGCATTTTGCAAGGCTGTGCTTTTCCTACCAATGTGTCGTTGGCCCTGACTGATAATGGATGATAGTGGGTAACCATTATATTTATGTACTACTATTGCTACGTTATTATGGTTGTTATTTTTATTGCGTTGGTTTTGATTAATTGGGGCAGTTCATAAATATGGTAAATAAATAATATGAACAAATGAAGAAAATGATGCACCAGCCAAAGCTGGGCAAAAGCTTCCCTGACTCAACCTGCACTTCCAGCAGCAGCCAGCCAACTCTCAGGTCTCAAGCCTGCTCCTTCAGGAGAAATAATGTCTGATCCAGAGTTATAACTGGAAAATGGCAGTTCTGCCTTCGTCTCATCCAGGCTTCTACAGCCTCCAGGAACAGGGTCAAGACCTTCATGGCATCTGTGGCCTGGCCAGGAATGGAAATATACAACTGGCTATCATCAGCATGCTAATAATACCTCATCCCAAACCAACAGGTAACCTGTCCCAGGCAATTAAGGCTTCTGCCGGAAAAGGACACAAGAAAACATTTATCAGGGATCCTTTGGATAGGACTCTTTCTTAAAGATGAGAGTCTTTGCATGACTACATGGTATTCTCTTAAGATTAATTGGAGTATGAAACATGTAGCCCATTGATTGATGGATTGATTGATTGAGTTGGGAATTCTCCCTGGGTATTCAGAATTATGTCTGAATTTGTTTCAGTGAAAAAAATGCAACAACCAGCACACAAACTCTTAAGTCTGTGCACCTCCACATGGAGCCTCAGATAACCTGTTCAACACTTGACTGGTGGGCTGTAGGTGGGCTGCCTTTTGCTAGGAGTAAGGGGGAAATTTCTCCCCACCACCACCACCAAAAAACACACACACAAACATGAATTTGTAGGGTTACAAATCTATGCATTGGCAATGAACATTCAGCAATTTTGCTGTTCTTTATGGGGCGCCTGTTCTTCTTAGCAAAGGAAGCAAAAATTGGTATGCTTTTACTGCCAATGTTAATGAGAAATCTGTGATTTTATTTTCTATATGTTAAATGAAAGATGAGCAAGGCTCACCTCTTTTTCATTCCAGCAAAAACCACTGTGGGTGAGCATGGGAGAATGTGGTATAGGTGTACAGTTATTTATATATATATATGGAGGGGAGCCTGTATGCTCACCCACTCTCACATCTGTAGCATTCAAATGTCTGACCCAGCATGTAATGCTGTGTTTAAGCCCCATGTGTTGTACACTCCATTTTAACATCAAGAGACATGTGTTTGCAAACAGTTCCAGCTGGCTGTTTCAAACTTCTCTTAAGTCTTTTTGCATAAACAGAAATATTTCTCTTCCTTGCATAGTAATTCATCAGCTTTCTTATACACTAATCCTAAACACATTTGCTTGGAGATAAATTCCACTGATTGTAATAGAAATTATTTCTGTGTACACATTTTAAGATGGCGTGCTAGTGTTTTAACTGAAAGAAGAAAAAATAGCCATCTGAGAAAATAGATTAGCCACACCAAAGTGTTAATGTAGAACTTGTTTTCTACTTACTCTTTGCCGTATCTGATAGAGATTCTTTGTTAAAATATCTCTTATGTTATCCATCTGACCAGAATAAGGTGTATTTATCTTTTGTTCTTCTTGAGGCTCACTGTTGCAACAAGGGATAAAATATAGAGCTAAACAGATCATACGTTGGAATAATACAAATTATACTTTCTTTCAAAGATAGAATATCATTTAAAAGGAAGAAAATATGTTATCATTATCATTTTACATTTTAAAAAACAACAATTCTGGCTGGTCTTGACTAACTGTATCGATATTGTAGATATGTGCACGTTGATAAAATCTTAAAGAAATCTTCAATTTTCCCAAGTAGGCTTGATCCATAGATTCTTTCATTCATAAGTATTTGAGAATTTAATTCAAATTAATTATTCACAAGTCTATCAACTGATTATAGAATTAATATGCCTTTTAACACATTTTACTCAATTAAATGTAAATAAAGTTTTATATGATCAAAATCTCAATATAAAATTTGCTCTGAAAAACTGAAGGTATTTCCTGGTAAACTGTGTTTTATCACAATTACAGGTTCATAACATGGCAGTAAAACTTGTCTATATTATTTTTCAATGTTTTTTTCATTTTCAATTATTGTGAGCTTCTAAAGCCTCTGTGGTCATCCCAACTATATGGAGTACCCTCCCCCTACCGACCTCATTTTGCTTTGAGTTCTGTTCAGTGAGATTTTGAGCCCAGTTGTGGGTGCCATTATAAATTGTTTTTGCTTTTTGATTATCTTGATGGAAGTTGTTTTTGTTTGTTTATATTTTCCTTCTGGGTTAGGGTGGCTTATAAATACCATCTCATTTATACATCTATTTCTGTCTCTATCCCTAACTCGGTCTCTCCATCATAGAAAATATGATTGCCCTTAACTCTAATCTTACATGCATGCAAAACATAGAGACATACAAGCAAACTAATTCAGTCTATAAAACAATGATAACTCTATTTCCCCCATTCTGATGGGAAGGAGTTTCTGGCTGGGAATTTGGGGAGTTGTATTCCCAAAACATCTGGAAGGTAACAGATGGAGGGAAGAGAAGGCTGTTTTAGGGGTTCTATCTCACTGTTAAACTCTCATTAAGCCTGGCTATTTGCAAAGCTCATGGCTAGAGGCCCTTTTTCAGTGTTGCAAGTATAATCAGGAGCAAAGTCCTGATTATAGAATGCACTCCTTCGAGAGTTCAACAGATACTTAGTTTATTATCATTTTAGCAATTAAATACATAAAAAACCAAATATTTTAAATGTTATCCCTAACATTTCACTTCCATAGCTGCTTTTACTTATTTGTTTTCTATTTGTATTTTATTATTAACTAATGGAAGGTTTTGGACATTTTTGAAAAGGAAATAAATCCCAGAAGTAACTAAACAGATCAGTGTTTAGCCCTAAATTAAATACATATATATGATATATTTAATATATTTATATATTTAATATATAAATAAATATAAATATATGATATATGATATATATATATATATATATATATATAT